AGGATGAAGACCATTAGAACCTAACATCAGAAAGAAGGTGAGAAAGACATTTTATGTTCAGAGATAGGGCTACAATACCCCAGTTGCAGAAAAGTAAGGGAAAATACCTGCAGATCTTTCCTGGTGGGTACAGTCTCTAGGGAAGTTCCTTTCTCAGATGGAATTAGTTTAACCAGAGCAGTTCTAAGGAACATTTGTTCTGCAAGGTTAACCTGAATCCAGTAAGAAGTCTTTTCTAGGTTTGGATTTCAATTAAATTCACAGAGCTCTGATGACAAATTAACTCCCCCTTTCCTCCCCTTTCCTCTCACATTTTGGAGATATCATAAGGAGACGCTCTTGTCCCAGGGTTTGTGTAATTGAAGGTATGCAGCCTTCAGAGACTGACAAGTTAGATTTCCCGAGGCAAGGCAGCCTTCTCTGATTTGATTTTGTTGAGACAGTTCAAGAAAATTGTTAGATCTGGTTAAGATATTCTGTCTCATGCTTTTTTTTTTTAAAGGCACATTAAACATCAAAACATATTTCAATTGCATCTTGCACTTCTCCGAATACAAATCGAATGTAACAAAGTAAATGCAAGTATGTATACTGCCTGAGGAGCTTCTCAAAGAACTGTCTCATGAAGATGTCCAACCTTGAATTTATTACCCCTTGTAGCAAATCTTCGGCGTGATTCCCCCAACTATATATAAGCAACTCCAGGATATTTCAGCGAGCTTGTATTTCCCTCCAATAATGATCGCTCCCTCTTAGCTATACAAGAGGGCAGAAGAATTACGCAGCAGTTCCTAAGTCCTAATAAGAAGTAACAAAGGCATTACCCTTATGCACTCTTTCATTAACTATTGTTTGGAAAACTATACTAATTACATAGAAGCTAAATTCAGAACTGGTCCCTGCTCAGTGAGCAAGAGATACAATACATCTGTATCAACTGATGTTTGCTCCTTAATGGTGCTTTTAAACAACATTCACAGCACCACAATGCATCTGATTCAGGTTATGAAATGCATCTTATCAGATTTATACTTTCAGGCTCAAATTTCAGCTGCTTTATTTGCAAAATAGTTTTACTTAGTGTTTCCAAGTTACATAAGCTATCAAAGGTCAGCCTTACCTAGAAAGAGAGTTCAGTTTGCTGTTTAAACCAGAGGTCAGTGAAACCAGTGACTTTGTTTTGGATACCTGAAAATGTGTACACAAGCAGATCATTTTACAACAACAACATAGATATTTGATAAAAATATATTTTAAGAATTCTCTGCTGAAACAGTGTAGTTAAGTCTCACAGTGCTGCCTTTTATGTAGTTCTGCATGTAGTTAAAAAGACAAATATGCGTTCTATAATCTAGAATCATGATTTGTTTAACATTGGAGTTCTGTATAAATGCAACAATCTTTTTACTTACAGCCTTATAAATTGTTTATTATAATATAAATCATAATATAATACATTAGAATATGATAAATGTTACAATATACATTGCATTATGTAAATTATATATTTTATATAATACATAAATTATCATATAATTTAATATGTTTATATATACGCTAAATTATATATAAATATGCACACACTATAAATTATATAAGAAAGACCCTTTCTAATTAAGGTGTGTAACTGTGCATATAATCTTTCTGTCTCAGTTTGTCATCTTGGCACATACTTCAATATCCAGCTGTTCCACTACATTTCAAAGAAAGATTGGTATTGTAGAATTAATTCAGCTGTGATATGTGCATTCCTGTCCATATTGATCTCTAAGCCATAAGTCATGCAAATATAGAAAATCTTGTATTAAAAGTTGTGTATTAAAATAAGACGACAAAAAAGTCAATTGGCAGCTCAAGAGAAAAATGACGTTACTGATATTTACATATCCATGTTAATGTGTTACAGAAATCCAGATAACACAGCTTATTATGAAATTAATTTACAATGAAGTTCAGTGTTGCTTAACAAAGTTGGTTGAATTTAAAACAATTGATTTTTCAAATGAACAGCAGGTCGCTGGCCTGCCCGCTGATAGTTTGAGTACAGTTCATGGGAGGTCCCAATTGATTAAACCCTCATATTGTTTGTCTGGGGAAAACTTACCTTTTTAGATATTTTCTTTGCAGAAATATGCTTGGCATCTTCATATTCAACAATTGTAGTTACCTTAACTAAAAGACAAGAAGGATAAAAACCTTTTGCTTAGGAAGAGCACAAGCACGCCCTCAAACTCATTTGTGTGAGGGGTATTTGCCCACCAAAAGTCACACTTCGGTTTTGATAACTGATGATCAGTTGCCTGACACTGAATTCAAAGCAATTGAATTTGTCACAGCCCCTAAGCTAAGAGACACTGGATAACCCTTTAAACTGCAGTCAAAATTAAACTACATCTCAGTCCGTATCCTTTTACTGCATATTTTGGAGAATTAAGAGAAATGGTATTCTTAGAAATCTCAATGGACAGGAAGTCAAAATAGAACTTGCAGAAAATATGGATGACATTCCTACCTCTTCTGCAAGGTGCTGACAAGTCACTTAAGTCTGTCTTTTCTCACTGTTGTTTTCAGTGAGAAAACTGAAGGATAGGCACTTCATCATGTTTAAAGTACCTAAAGGCATAGTTCTTGATCCTCCCTACAGAAAGCTGGAGACACCTCTATGCTATACTTCTGGTTACGTGCTTTTCCCTCTGGTATTTTCTGGGGCTTAACATTCACTTAATCAGTGCTCAGCCCACACCACTAAACACAGAAATAATTAAAAAACAAACTACACATTAACAGATTGACTTGCCTTTTTTGCTGTTTGTCCTCATCAGTTTTGAATTTGGTATATCTTCTAGAGAGCAGTCAGTCTACAGAATATTTAGCAGGTAAGAGGAAAAGTCAATAGATTCTACACAGCAAATGCATATTATCTGGAGAAAGAAAGCAAACTAAAAATACATATAAAAAAGAAGTGGAGTTGGCTAAACACCAGTTTACTTTTCATAAGCATACTCAGGGTAAGAAAGAAACTCACAAAACTGCATTTGTGCCTGCAGATGACCCTAAAGCTGTAGGTAATGTTTGTAAGTGCACCATGGTTGTCTGTCTAGCCTTTTTGTAACTTCTTGTATCTAGACAGACAGCTGACCAAGAACATTTCTCTGAAATTCTTACAGCAGAGACAGAAGATTTCTAATGCTGTAAGTGGTGGTAAAACTTAAACACACTTACCACTGCTGCAGCAAGAGCCACTTCCTCTCCTTCTCGCAAGTCTGTAACATAGGAATATATAACTTGTTTATATTCTATTACTTGCTTAATTATAAACTGTTGGTTTCTACCTTCTGAAATATGAAACTAAATAAGTAATTCAGGAATACAGTTGTTTAAATAGTTTACCTTAGCTGGGATATATCTAGCCTTTTAACAAGACTCAAGTAGTATAGACCAGTCAGATTTGGAATTCCATAGAAGGAAAAAAAATGGTAAAAACACAATAACAGGAATACACTTTTTAAAAATGCAGTTCATTCCCATGTTTGATCTTTAAAAGGCTATGAAAGCTTAGTCATGCAGCATGTAACTTAAAGGAGAAGAAAAGCCATACAATATATTGATCAAAGCTAACACTTTTGGACAGAAGTTTTCAAGATGGACATCAAAATACATACTCAAGGACTTACAGTAAAATCAAGTTCTTAACGAGTCTTGGGCATGATCTTTCAGCTGCAACGTAGATAGGTAGATTCCAGAAACACCAGTTCCCACCAAAATATACATCTGATTCTGACTGTCCACTGCAGCTTAAACCGCTGCATAGATACAAGGTTAATATTAAATGTTCATCATCATATGTAAATAACTACCTGATCAGAGCTCAGTGGTAAAGAATTTCAAATTAGGAAAAATACAGAATCAGTATCAAGGATGAACAGATTCTGTTGGAAAGAATTGCTTAAGTTTTTAAGCAAAGGAGCAGTTTACTAAGAAAAAAAAAAATAACAGCTTGACATTACACAGGTCAAGTGCAGCTGATAAGAAACGCCTGCTGCTCCTCATCTGCAACTTCATACCACTACTGAATAGCCTAAAACTTTTAGAAGCAGCAGCAATCTTTTTCTTAAGAAGTTTGCAAATTACAGGTTTCCTCATGTCAGTCAAGGGCACATCAGGATGCAATGCTGTCGACGTTGCTCACAGACATCACCCCATCACAAGCACTTACTAAGCAAGTCTTTTCTTTTCATTTTTCTGATGGCAACAGGCATCTTCAGCAACTCCACCGTAAATGCCTTCTCGGCTGTTTGCAGAAGCGCATCAAGTTCTTTCTTCATTTCCTGGATGTTTTCCTTGGCTTAAGGAAAAAAAAAAAAAAAGCCTTTATTGCCACATGTGCTTCATATTTCCAAGCGTAAGCACTTCTGAATCACAAGGAAAGTTAAAATAACACCTTGCGTAGGGCAAATGGAGTCGGAATGATTTGAAAAGAGCTTCAGCTAGCCCCACTCCACCATGCATCTCAGGGCCAGACTGGGGAAGGACCCTGGGTGCGTAAACGACATTGTGGGGCCCCCGCAAGGTCCCTCACTCTGCACAGACGCGCTCGAGGCGCCCAGGCAGTTACAGGCACAACTCCCACATGTAGCACTTGTTATTTTTGGGGGGGTGGGGGCAAGAAAAAAGTTACTTTGCTACTGATCGGGAGGGAGGTGAAAAAACCGCTTCATGCCACCTAAGGCGGAGGGGCGGGCACAAAATAACTTATTTTGCCCCGAGGGGAGGGGGCGAAGTGACCGCTATCTGCCCACACGAGGCGGTATGTGCGGGGGGGGGCGCGGTGCCCCCAGGCGCGGCCGGCCGTGAGGGCGCCCCCTCTCGGTGCCGCGGCGACGCCACCCCCGTTCTGCCCCAAACGCCGCTGCCTCTGGAGCCCCCG